GGTTCATGGCTTTGTTGAACAGAACGCTGCACCGTTAGTTACGCGGGAGACGGTGATACGCGGCGTGGGGCGCTGATAAGTTGACGAGAATGCCGCCCGAAAACTAAAGCACGCACGACAGAGACACAGTACGGCCTGGTGCAAACAAAGAAAGACACATGCTGCAAGTGAATGAAAGTTATTTAGTTAGTCGCCGCAGTTCAGTTCTGAAAAATCAGTTTCGAAGAATGATTCTGCTCACAGTCTCGTACAACAACTGCCTTGAAGATCTCACATTATTGAGAAGGTTTCTAGAATATAATGGCAAATCATATTAACACAGTTACAAAACGAAAAAGAGCAGAAATGCTCAGTGAAAGCTGAGGAAATATGGACACATGTGAATGAAGACAAACCGTTAAGACGTTGGTGAGCTCATGATGAGCAACGATGTGCTACACACTTACATTCAAGAAGAAATAAAATTCACAACATTATCAATATATTCTGCCTGACCTTGTTACTGCTGACAATCGATTGTCAACGACTGTTTCCATTGACTTTTCTGGTGACGTTGAAGTTTTCGGCTGCCGTTGTGATGGTTGGTCGTGGTGTGGATGACATCGGCTGTAACAAAACCAAGTGAACAATATGCAAATTCGTAACACAGCAAAGTATTTCAGGCTTCTACACGCGCAGATATGGCAGAAAATCTGTTCTGTCTGGTTATGCGCTTAGGCAGCAGCAGCAAAACAAAAGCCATGCATACCCCCTCCCCCTCGCTTACTCTCTCTCTCTCTCTCTCTCTCTCTCTCTCTCTCTCTCTCTCTCTCTCTCTCTCTCTCTCTCATCTCTCTCTCTCTCTCTCTCTCTCTCTCTCTCTCTCTCTCTCTCTTCTCTTCTCTCTCTCTCTCTCTCTCTCTCCTCTCTCTCTCTCTCTCTCTCTCCTCTCTCTCTCTCTCTCTCTCTCTCTTCTCTCTCTTCTCTCTCTCTCTCTCTCTCTCTCTATCTCTCCCTCTCTCTCTCTTCTCTCTCTCTACTCTCTCTTATCCTCTCTCTCTCTCTCTCTCTGACTTTCGCTCTCTCTCTCTTTCTCATCTTCTTTCCAACTGTCTCCCTCTCTCTCAATCATTCTCCCTTCACCTCCCTCATCCCCTCTCTCTTCTCTTAATCGTCACGTCTACACTGATGTGACATTAATGCATCGTTAACTGTCATATTGTCTGCAATGTGACGTTGCTGCATTGTTAGGTGACATCTCCCGTATCGTTTTGCAGCCCCGCGTACCAACAAGCCACCGGTGGCCGTCATCACGCCCAAGAAACAGACGGTGAAGCTACCGACGAGTGAAACCATACTGGACGGATCCCGTAAGTCTGACCGTCGTCCAGTCTCTATCGCGACACGCTCGCACGGTCACACGTCGCTCACACCAGCGACACTAGCGACTCGTTATGCTTCAGTCTATTATGCTTCTAGTGCTACTGCTAATTGCTGTTTTAATTTTGTTCAGTTTTAATTGCTGTTTGCTCATTAGTAAGTGTAGCACTGGTTCTAATAGCGTGAAAATGTGTTTGTTTATGTATATATATGTATAAATATGTTGATGGTAATAGTGCATTATGCTAATGTTTTCTCGACTATCGACTGCATATTACAGACATGCAGCTGCGCCTATACAGATTTAAGCTAGTCGTGACGTATAGCCTGTCATTTATAACCACATCTAAATGGTTTGATCTTCGCGCACGTTTGCGGCGCGAACAGAAAGCACGGACGATGACGCCGTCGTAGCTTACCACTGGGAGGAGCTGTCGGCGCCGATCAACCAGCAGGTGGCGCTCATGAAGGACGATCAGGCGACGCTGCACCTGAAGAGTCTTGCGCCGGGATTCTACCAGTTCAAGCTGACGGTGACAGACTCGGACGATGCGACCAACTCCACCATCGCTAATGTCACCGTCATAAAGGGTATCTCTCTCGTCCTTTCTCTCGTCCTTTCTGCTGTCCTTTCTGTTGTCCTTTCTGTTATTCCTTTCTGCTGTCCTTTCTGCTGTCCTTTCTGCTGTCCTTTCTCTCGTCCTTTCTGCTGTCCTTTCTGCTGTCCTTTCTGCTGTCCTTTCTGCTGTCCTTTCTGCTGTCCTTTCTGCTGTCCTTTCTGCTGTCCTTT